AAAAAACGCATAAAAACGACGAAACCGAACTTATTAATGTCAACTGCTTTAAACATCTAGATGTTTCGCAACTCTGTATAGATTTCGTCTGCGAAAAGTTTGCTTTCTAAGCCCATTTAATCTTATGATCAAATCTATACTTTTGCTGAAAGATGACCTCTGGGATGACGTATTTCTGCTTTTTATTCAGTTGAAGTTATTGAAACTTTTCTCCTTATCAACTGGTTTAGTTTCTTATCACGAAAAACGGATTTTTACACTGGCGCTGGACTGGACACAGCCAAGGATATGGTACTCAAAGCATTCGACAAGCACAGTGAATCAGCTAAAAAGGTACATCCGTTTTCGGACCATGGCTTTATTTTGCTTTTGATTTGGTGCCTTCTGAATTCGGCATATCCGAGTTACAGAAAACCTCTCTTTTCAACGGCTAGAATTGCTCGATTCGAACCTTTTTTGTATTAAAGTCAAAAATCAAAAGTCCTCCGTAATTCGTCCCTAAATGCTCGGAAGTAACCCGAGTGGTAGCAGTTGCCAGCAGCAACCGCGCGCTGGCAAGGCTGTCAACGGCTTCTTTTTTCCGAGGTGCTTAAAAACAAGCTGATGGCTAATTTGATTGTCTGGCACATACTTCCTATCAGTTTATCATCGAAACGAATCGTAGAGGGGTCGTCTGTTTCACCGGCAAAGTCGAACTTTCGTTCTACTGGCGACAGCAGTTCTACCCCATACGCCATATCTGGCAGTTGTTGCATCAAATAAATGATAATGAATAATAATTTTCCGTAAAGTTGTTGGACTTTTTAAATTGTTTATAGTGTTTTTTTTTTCCTGGTAAGGCAGCCGAAGAAGCGAAAAGGAAACGAGCGGAAGAGCAACGGCGACTGGAAGAACGACGAGCCGCGCAAAAAGCTAAAAAAGTAAGCATATAATTTCGAATATCTTTTACCAAATTTAGCTACTGTGCAGACAGTCTCAGCCACTTGCTGTACTCAATCGACCAACTTTTTGCTTTTTTTTTGCAGGAAGCCGAATTCAATGAGCCGAAAATACGCGAACTTACGGATGAAGAAGCTGCGGAACTGGAAAAGAAACAGAATGTTGTAGAAAAGGAGTCAGTTGCAGCCGCAGCACATGATGAAGGTTCACTCTTAGTTGAAATGATGAAATAGGAGACAAAGAATCGGATGAAGCGTCATTTGTAAGAAGACATTTTTGGTTACGCACTGTGTTTCATCCCTTAGCTGTAAAAGCATTTATCAGTAGCAGCGTGATGAGCATGTGTCAAATAGCATAATAAGCATGAAATAGGCAGTTTAGAAAAATGTGTGCCTTAATAATAATAACATTAGCAAGAGTACTTTGACTACCACTAGGATGAATTAATCACATTGTAAAGACCACTCTCATCGTCGCAGTTATTTTGGTCTATTTTTCCTCCATTTTTATGCGTTTTGTGCTGTGTAACAGCAGTATAAAACGCATATTGTCATGAGGTTGTCTGTGTGTGTGTCAGCAGCAACTTGTCCGCAACTTTCATCTCGAGAACCGCAAAAGCTAGGAAGCTGAAAATTTGGGGGAACTTTCCCCACCTAAGTGTGACCCCGCAAATTTAAATTCAGCTTCCCCGTACTCACGGGTAACGCGTACGGCCCCGTGAAAGTTTTTTACGGGTAAGTTAATATCTCGGGGACCACCGAGTCTAGGAGGCTGAAATTTTAGGGTAATGACCCCCTGCCCACGCTCAACCTTGCCCGTTCAAATTCAGTGTTCTCGCGCTTTCGGGTACCACCTACGGCCTCGTGAAAATTTTGGCGGGTAAACTATTAACTCGG